AGCCCGGATGCTTTCATTTGGGCCGGGACCTCTTTTTGCTTTTAGGCTCCCAAAAGGACACTGCAGCCATGGAAACACGGAAACCTTAACCCTTTACAGCCTGATCCAAGAAAAATAGGAATGATATTGGATTTTTTTAGTCTGAAGTCTATCTTTGGCCCCTTAACAACATATGAAGAAAAAAAACTGAAATTATTTTGATCAAATTAGCGTGCAATAAGTCAAAAATATATTTTGGTGTAGTCTTCTACTGGCTGTTATCAGGTATATCTGAATGTGTACAACAGGGGTTTGAGCAAAGCTTTTACCACTGAATGATGCAAAAAGTCTCAGATCCAAAAGACTTCAGAAACCATATGAATCAGATATGACACATTTGGCATTATAGGGTTAAAAAAGCCCTCAAAAGATCAATGTTTTTGATTAAATTAAGGCTAAAAATGGTCTATAAACAGGAGAATCCGTCAATAAAGCAGGTTTAGACCCTTTGGATGCTTTTCCCGGGATGCAACACTCCAAATTGAACAGAGTTTTTGTCATTCTGTGAGCAGGACATGATTATTTGTGGTATTTGTTGTTCAGGGGTACCAGGGGATGGTGGATGGAGGGGACAACATCAAAGAGGCGACGTGGGAAAGTGTCTCCAGCATGCTGCAAGTGGTGAGCAGAACTTATTATTCACTCAAACGTGGAGCAAACATAGCTGATTTTAATTAGAATGTTTTAGCTAATAAAAATACCTAAAGCAGCCACTGCTGCTAAGATCAGAGTTTCGCTATGAAAAGGTTATAAAATGTATTTAAAACAAGAGAAAGAGGAAATATTTGTAGAAGAAATATTTCCCATGTGTAAGAAGAGGTTCAATAATTTCCTCCTAGATATCATAATATCTATTAAACCACTATTAAGGGATTTTATTGTCCATGGAATGTGTTTAATTCATTATTAACCTTCTAATGCTTAGATTTTGCCCTTTCTTTATTATTTTTTTCTCGAAAGGAGAGCTGCCTATAGGTTTTAACTTATCCCCAGATTTACAAGTGGGAAACAAATATGTAGTTAACAGATTTGGGGTGTAAACAAACAGGATCTGCAGTTTTTTAACAAGGGCTCCATGTCCTTAACCCTTTAAAGCCTGATACAAGAAAAATAGGAAGAATATTGGATTTTTTTAGTCTGAAGTCTTTCTTTGGCCCCCCTCAACAACATATGAAGAAAAAAAAACTGAAATTATTTTGATCAAATTAGCGTGCATTAAGTCAAAAATATATTTTGGTGTAGTCTTCTACTGGCTGTTATCAGGTATATCTGAATGTGTACAACAGGGGTTTGAGAAAAGCTTTTACCACTGAATGATGCAAAAAGTCTCAGATCCAAAAGACTTCAGAAACTGTATGAATCAAATATGACACATTTGGCATTATAGGGTTAAGGGTGGCTTTAAAAACTACCAAACCTTCCTCTGGTGTCGTCCTCAGTGACATAATTGTGGTTACTTGATACCGTGTGTTTCCTAACAACAAAACGCTCCTTTATTTATGGTTAAAACCCTCTGAGCGGTGCGTCTCTGTCCTTGTTTCTTCGGTTTCATTGATCTTTTGAGGTGACCGTGATATGGAATACGCTGCTTTTTTGTTTGACTATCCATTATTATTATTATTAATGATGTTTGACTTCCTTCTGAGCAAAGCTGCTCTGCAAACCTGGTTTCCGCTTCCAGTTAAAACTGATTTTGTGCTTTTATTCTGGAGACTGAGCTACAAGTTTATTTCAGACATGAAGGGAATCTCCTTTTAGAAATGATTGTAAAAGGCCTTTTTTTTGTAATGAAATGTCTTTGTTTTCTCAGGAAATTCCAGCTCCAGTGATGATTAAATTCACAGGGCCCCTTTTGTAAACGGTCTAAATATACACAAGCAGCGATACGCACTTAGAATACCACAGATTCTTTATCCTCCCATATTTATAAGTGTTTTGGCTCTGCTCCAAGTCGTTTGGTCCAGTGTTTGCAACCAGTGCTTCTGGAGGAGCAAAAGGAGAGGAAATTCAATGTAACTATACAATTATATCACTTAAAACAATTAAACCCAGTTTAGAAATGTCGTCAAAATGATTAATTTGCTTATAAACCTCGATTAAAATAACCCTGAAGTATAAAAGCAACAGCAAACTGAAGGAAAGGAGCTTAACTTCTATGAGTATTTGTGTCTTTTAGCACAAAACAGACAGAAAGGAGTCAGTTCAGTTCAACCCTTCATAACCACCACAATGTAAATAATAGCACTCAATTATACTCATCCGGTCTTAATAAGTGTGACGTATATGCTTAATTATGAGCACACTTTGGTCAGTTGTTGTGTCTCTTTCCTCTATTTTATTACAATAAAGTCATCTTCTAATAATATGTGTGCAACAGTGCAGGAAAATTGCTTTAGATTCAATTTCCAAAGTATATTATCTGGAAAAAGTAGTCGGCGTGGTTGGATTCTATGTGCAGCATTCATCTTTTCATAGGCCTTTATAAATATCACACAATTTTCCTTATACTCAATGATGTCACATAATAGGTCGGGGGGAAAAAAAGGCGACAATACTACTATACTAAAATGTTCAACTCGATACCGATACTCAGGAAAATAATCGATACTCGATACCATTTTCGATACCACAAGGATAAAAAAAACCCAAAAGACCCCCAAATTTAACTGAATTTGGACAAGTTGGTGTCTTTTGTTTCAAAATGACCTGTTACTGATGTTATGGTGGCCGGTGGCCTGAATTAATGTTGGTGTGTTATTATTAGCCATTAGCCAAAGCTAGCAATTCAAGGCTAACGTCACGTTAATGATCATAAACAACATCAATAAATAAATCAGGGAGAAGGGGTACGATACTTTTGAAAATGTGTATGGTGTCCGAATACAACATTTTAGTATCGATACTTTTGAAAATGTGTATGGTGTCCGAATACAACATTTTAGTATCGATACTTTTTTGAGTATCGATACTTTTGACAACCCTACCAAAATGTCCAACAATTGGCGTGCTATTATTAGCCATAAGCCACAGCTAGCAATTCAAAGCTAATGGGTGGTATTGAGTAACGTATCCGGATACAACGTTTTAGTATCAATACTTTTTGGGTTTTTTTGAGTATCGATACTTTTGACAACCCTACAAGAAGGTCATTTAACGGTTCACTGTTAATCTGAAATGAGCAGATTTGGTGCGTTTGAGTGTCTCTATCTCAGTGTTTTTCAACCACTGTGCCTCGGTACACTAGTGTGCTGTGAGTGATGGTCAGGTGTGCCGTAGAAAATAATCCTATTTCACCTAATTGGTCTAAAAAGATTTTTTGATAGGAAATTAATTTTCTGCAAATAATATGCCATTTTTGAGTGTCTGTGCTGTTCTAGTGACTGGTGGCGTAATCATGTAATAATTCCTTATGACTAGATTTTGTATATAATTTTGTATATTGAGTGGACATGTTAAGGGCAATTTGAAAGAAGAAATATAAAATATGATAAAAATACATTTTTGTGTTTATTTGATTCCTATTCAAGACACTTAAGATAAGATAAGAATAAAATAAGAATAACTATAGTGTTACTATAGGCGGCTACAGATTTGTTTGACATTTGTGGTTGGTGGTGTGCCTCGAGATTTTTTCTATGAAAAAATGTACCTTGACTCAAAAAAGGTTGAAAAACACTGCTCTATCTGAGCGGATCACACGACTTCCCGCCTCCGCTTTGCCCTCTTTTAGGGCGGGACCGTCATCGGTAGCGCCCGGTGCAAAGAGTTCCGCACCCATGAGGGGCGCCTGAAGGCAACTCCTTCTGTAGTCCCTCTATCTCTATCTCTATCTCACCACTGACTCTCATCAGTGTTTCTCCTCTGGATAGCTTATTGTCATAGTGATGAGAAATGTAATATTGTGTCTACTCTGTAAGTCGCTTTGGATAAAAGCGTCTGCCAAATACATAAACATTTTGAAAATGAGTATCGTATCCGGATACAACATTTTAGTATCGATACTTTTGACAGCCCTACCAAAATGTCCCAAAATTGGCTAGCAATTCAAAGCTAATGGGTGGTATCGATACTTTTGAAAATGAGTATCGTATCCGAATACAACATTTTAGTATCGATACTTTTTTGAGTATCGATACAACCCTACAAGGAGGTCATTTAACGCTTCACTATTCATCCCCCCCCCCCTTTCTTCCCTTTCAGGGCGGGACCGTCATCGGGAGCGCGCGGTGTAAGGAGTTCCGTTCCCACGAGGGGCGCCTGAAGGCGGCGCACAACCTGGTGCAGCACGGCATCAGCAACCTGTGCGTGATCGGGGGCGACGGCAGCTTAACGGGGGCCAACCTGTTCCGGGAGGAGTGGAGCGGGCTGCTGAACGAGCTGCAGGAGCAGGGTGAGCCCCCAAAACTAGCTCCAGAAAACAAAAAACTCAACCCAACCTTATTTATAAAGCGCTTTCAGTCAGCCAAAGCTAAAATCAAAGCGCCGTACAGGCCATTTGAGCAGATCATAAAACACAATTATCACCTCCACACAAGACAAACTCAAAGATTAACTCATTCGCTGCCAAAGACGTCTATAGACGTCTTTTATGTTTTTCAATGCGAGTGGCTTTGGGGAACGATCGGCTTAAGTTTTTCCGTAAATATCGGTTTCCAGACAGACCACTCTTTCTTTTGGTGTTTTCGGTGTTTACATAGTCATAGCACAAACTATTCTGTGGCTCATGAAATAGAAAAATTTGTAGCAGCTCAGAGAGGTATGGTGGGGCTAGGCCATTTATTGTCTTATAAGCAAATAAAAGGATTTTGAAATGAATTCTAAAATGGACAAGGAGCCAATGAAGTGAGGCCAGGATTGGTGTTACTGTATGTGTTCCCTCTTCTTTGTCTCAGTTAACTCATTGACTGCCAGCCATTTTCGGAACAGAGTCCCATACTGCCAGAGTTTTTTGAGCATTTTGACTGATTTTTCAAGAGCCACAGAATAGTTAATGCTATGACTATGTAAACACCGAACACACCAAAAGAAAGAGTAGACTCTCTTCTTTCATCAGGAAAAAAAATGTGTTTCTACCTTATTCCGTTCTTCCTGGACTTGCGTCTCACCGGCGACATGTTCTCTCATAGCGAACCGTTAGCTTTTTCTTATTTGCCTACAGTCTATGCTCATCTCCCATCAAAAGTGGCACTGCCCCCTAGAGGGTCAATTTGTTACTACATACTCTGTCTAGAAGCCGATATTTACGGACAAGCTTTAGCAGATCGTCCCCCAGACACTCTCGTTAAAAACATAAAAGACGTCTATAGACGTCTTTGGTAGCAAATGAGTTAAAAGTCGTGCTGCAGCGTTCTGAGACCCGGCCCATTCATTTATGTCCATTATAGTGGACATTTTGTCCACCTGTACCCCCCCTAAGTATCTGGAGTTACCCTATCAAGCCCTATAGTGTTCTGTAGAGGACATCCTGGGCTTTCCAGTGATGTGCCATGTGATAGGTTTGCATGGGAAAATAGAACAGGCTTTAGATAATTAAATAAT